TGAAAGCCTTACCATGACCTTCTAATCCTTCCTGAAGTTATCAACAGCATCGTGAAGCATAGTCCTGTCCTTAGATATGTCATATGTATGTATAGCTATACACACACAAGCACAAATATACAGACACGTGTGCTCATTTCATAAAAAACAATTATTATGTTTGTATGTGTTTGTATGTGTGCGCTGCTCTTTAATGCTTTTCTGCCACTAAATACATTAGGTAAGTTTTTGAGTAATGACTGTGCAGACACCACTGTAAGTGCCTTTACACATATTGTACCACTTAAACCTAACAATGGTACATAAAAGTCAACTTTGCATTTTGTACTGATATATTTACCTAAAAAACAAAAAGCTTTGTAGCAATCCATTGCACAGATATATATATTATTTATTTTATTGTGCCTCTATTATTGGACATTTTGGTTTCTTCTAATTTTTTGTATCATACAGCAAAATATAGGAAACCACTTAAACAGGGGTATTATTAATTAAATTATGGTTATACTCACATAAGTAAACATTATGCTACCATAAAAAAATGACAGTTGTAAAAGCTAAGTAAGTACATCAGAAAATGCTTTGACTACGTAAGAAGTAAAACACAGGAAAAAAGAAAACTATTCAAACAGTCTGGATTCAACTATGTATAAACCAATTAGGTAGTTCCTAGATGGTGGAAACTGGTTATTTTTCTCCCTTTTCTTTTTTCTATTCTAAGTTTTCAATATGAAAATTTATTATTTCAAAGAGGAAAATAAGCAAGCTATATTTCCTTTCTACAAGAAGTAAAACCATACAAATTGGTAATCTTTAAATTTTTAGAAACCATGACTTATCTAAATGCATAAACTACACAAGTTCTCCTACTTTTCAGATATTAAATTCACATAAAACTGATTCTATAACATGTTGATACTATATTATCATAATAAAAATGATTATGCATAACACACTAAGGCAATACAATGAACATTTTTCCAATTATAAATCCTAAAATGATTAGAATTATTTTCTGTTGGCATAGTCACCACTTCAAGAAACATACTTTTGCTCTTGACTGAGTTAATTCAAAGTGAACAGATTCTATTTTAGTCATTAAAGAATGATTCTGTGAGACCAAACAAGCATTCTGTTGCCTAAGTTTATTAAGTTTCTCTCGAAGACTTTTGATCTCCTGATCCACAGAGGCAGAAGATGAAAAAGACATCTGAAAAATGAAAAAGAACAATCTATTTTAGATTATTTCAGTAGGTATTACATGTCATTAATGGAAATAATGAACAATTATCAATAAAATGATTAAGCAGTTTGGAAAACTGAATTAAGACATTTAGTCAGTATTGGTGGGGATACGTGAGACAATCAGGACTCTCTCCTCCACTGCTGGTGAACATGTGCATAACTAAGCACAGCTTGGAAAACAGTGGTACACTTTCGAAAAGTTCTTGATGTCATCCAGCAAAGCCGAACATGCTACAACTCAACAATATTACCCCTGGGTATAAATCTGGTAGAAGCTTTTGCACCTGAAGATTAAAGATGTAAAAACAATAAAATCCCAAATGTCCACCAAAAACAAAATGGATAAATTATTCTTTAACTGTACATATATTTCTATTATATTCTTGTGAATATACATTTTAAATTATTTTAATTTTCATGAGTTGAGGTTTTCAAAATGATTTCAATTTTATTTTTTGAATAAGTTATATACTTATGCAATTAAAAAGTCAGAACTATATAAAAGAGTACATACAGAAGGATCATTCCCATCTTTAGTAGACAAGCAACCATCTTTACAAGTTTCATGTTTATGAATTTTTCTATAACAGACAGCAAAAAAGTAGTAAACTCCTGAAATAGGAGAGTTATTGAAGGTGTTAATCTAGACTTCTAGTGTTTCCACCTGCATATACAAGCAACACAAATTACTCAGTCCCCACAGCTCCTTATGCAAAAACCAACATAGTACATACGGTGCTCTGCATCTTACATTTTTCACTTAAAAAATTTATTCTGGAAATCTCTTAACAATCAATTTAGTGAGAAATTCCTATTCTTTTTTTTTAACCCCCTCAGCTACAATTTCCACTGCATGTTTGTTCGTCCAGTATTACTAGACACTTGAGCTATTTCTAGTCTTCTGTTATGAAAAACAATGCCTTATTCTGAACTTGTGCAGGTGTACCTGTATAAGGTAGTTTTCCAGAAAAGGGATTTCCAAGTTAAGGGTAAATGCATTTGTGATTCTGGTAAATTTTACCAAATGCCTCTCCATAAGGGTTGTATTACTTTGCGTTTCTATCAGCAGTGTATGAGACTGCCTATTTCCCTCTAATAGCGCCAACAAATAGTGTCAAATATCTGGATGTTTAATAATTTGGTAGTGAATTTCTCTTATTATGACTGAGACTGAACACCCTTTTATTTGTTTGAAGATCATTTTAATTTCCTTTTCCATTCACGTCTTTTGCCCATATTTCCACTGCATTGTTGATCATTCCTTCTTTCTAGGAGCTCTTTATATATTAAAGAGATTAACTCTTTGTCTTTAATAGGGACCAATATTTTGTCCCCTCCAATTTGTCATATGTCTTTTGATTTTGCTTATGGTAAAATTCAGTGATTTCAACGAAGGCATATATATAATAAAAACAATCAGCAATTCAGAATAGATACCACATTTCCCAAAGTTACATAATCCTTGTAGACATGGAATTTGAATTTATTTTCTAAAATGTAGGCTCAGATAGCTTCATCAAGCAGCTTCCTTAAAAAAGAAAATCTCAGTTGTTGGCTTTCTGAAGAGGGAAGAGCAAATTTTTATCAAAAAAGATTACAGTGTGCATATGCAACCATATGTATATATGCATGCTGGCAGAGGAGTAATAAAAAAGAAGAGAATGGAAAAGGAGATAAAAGGGTTGAGTAAGGAAGAAGAGTACACACAGGGAGATAGATAATATGACTAAATAAAAAAGAGGGAGAGAGAGTGAGTTCCAGATCAGGAAAGACATCTAACATCATCCACAAAATTTAGAGATAATGAAAGGAGCACCAGATCCAGGCTAACCAGTAAGTATACTGTAACGACTTAATAAATACTGATTATCTATTACGTGTGTGGTACAGTGCTATAATCAAGAGGGTTACAATTTACTTAAGAAAACAAGATACTTAACTGCAAAAAGGTAATAAATATATAAGCTTAAAAATAGGATAGTACACCAAAATAACTACTCTCTAACTTGTTAGGACAGAACAAGAACCACTATATTTAAATTTCGAGTCTTGAGCACTATAGTAAAAGACTATGGAAAACATGAATAAGTTATTTGAAGAAAAAACTCAAAGAGAAAGTATTTCAAGTAGACAGGTCTAAAACTAAAACTCTTTTAAGTAAACAGAGCTAAAAACAATAACCTTATCTCTTGGCTTTTTTTGAAAATCAGTACCCGCATTGGGCATCTTACAAACTTTTTTATAAGGTGAGTAATTCAAAAATCCAAGCTGGCTAGGCTGAGAAAGATCTTCCAGAATAAGCCTTTCACACCTTGAGCGATTAGAGGCATAATCCGAATTTTCACTTGGACTAACACTAGAAAAAAAAGAAAAATACATTTCAGTTATTCGATACTTAAGTATTCACTCTAAATTTCTATATATTAACTTAAAAAAAACAAAGGGAAGAACTTGAAATGCTGCTGGAAATCAGATGCCACAGATGAACTTAAGGTATTTCATAACTTTAAAATAAACCATAATTAGTTTTAAACTAGCAATCTATGTATTTCTAGAGCCTCTATGCTAAGGTAACTTAAGTTTCAAACAACAGTCATAATAATAAAAGATTAACTAAGCACAAACTTGTATTTTATACGCTGAGTCCCAATATATTAAAGGTCTTAATATGTAAGTGTTTCGCTAATAGTTCTACTTTTTCCTAAACCAAGAGTTATATTCAAAATTATAGAACATTGTTTCCTATTCCAGACACATCAGAAACATAGTATTTAATAATGAAATTCATACATTTTACATTCATAAATTAATGTCACAGTCAGAATTCCATATGTAATTTTACTTAACTCACCTGGATAACTCTTCTCCTAAACTCTGTAAGCTCCATTCTGTTATCTTCAGTTCATGTCTTAAGGAAGCAACATTTGCACGCAAACTTTCTTCTTCATTGTCTTTATTATAGTAGTCTGATGAACTAGATTCCATTTCTTTAAAAAAGAAGTGAATTTCTCGTACCCTGCCTGAAAGAATCTGTGGTGTCAGTCAAAATACTCTCACACTAATAAAATTTAACTCATCATTTTTCTATTTCAAATGTCGTTAAATCTTTCATGGTAATTTAAAACAAAACCCCCAGCAACAATCAACTTCTCTGCAGTGTAAAGCCATAATGGAAAATTCAATAGCATTTCAATGAATCCATTTTTCATTATAGCCAGGGTATAGTTACTATAGTTCCCCTTTACTAAGCACCTTTAATCCTTCTAACAATTGTGTAACTAAGTATTTCCATCCCATATTAAAGATGAAGAAACTAAGAATGAGACAAACTAAATAACTTGTTCAAGGTTATACAAACGGTAAACGGTAGAACCAAGACCTGAACCTAAGTCATCAAGATCCAAAGACCCTTTAACTGTCACGCTGCATTTTCCTTATTACAGACTAACTTCAATATGAAGTGTCTGAACTTACACAATCACGTTACAAGCTCTGAACGTCTAACAAAATTGGTATCATTAAAATCATTCGTATTTTCTTAAAGATAATTTATATCAGATAAAAGTTATCCTGATCTCCCATTCACTATGCTTATAAAATTTAAAAATCATACACACTCACATCACAACCACAGAGATCAAAATGACATTAGCAGAATTGTTAACTCACAGAAATATATGAGGCTTTAAAGCTTTTGTTTCTTCAACTGATGGGTATCTTTAGGGTTGTGAAATTCTCTAAGTACCTTTGTACACAAAAATCATGATAAAGGACCACATTCTATTAGTAATAACAAATATATAATTATTATATATTAAGACACATATTATTAATAATACAATTAAAATGAAGGCTTTGTAATCTCTACTACACCTTTCTGCATATCTTAAAATTACATTCCTCTTTCAGTTCCCATTTACCTTTATCATTGTAGTATCTCTTTCATCACCCTTCTAGAATGCTGACAGCATCTCAAACTCCAAAAGGTTAGGAGTCCTGTGTATTTTGTTCAGGACTGTAAAGCACTTAAGAGAAACTCAATATTTTCCTCGAATATGATGGTTACTAAACTGCGCTTCCTTCTCCTCACGCAGCTAAAATAACATGACAAATTTATTCCTCACTCAAAATGTAGAGAGTAAGATCAAAAGAAAACTCCCACCTTATTGTTAGAAACTGTGGCAGGAAATTAAATGTTATGGGATCTTTGTAGAGAAAAAAATGTTTCTATCCTCTTTCCTCTTGTTTCCACAAATTTGCTTCGGCTTAAATGAGAAGACTCTCCCAAACAAAAGTCAACGGATCGGTCCCCATTCAGCTTTACCTTTGCAACATCTCTAGCTCCCTACAGGGCGGTGAAGGGAAAAAAGGGGTAAAGAAAATTTGGACAAATTCTAAAATGCCACTCGATATCATGATTCAACCAAATCCACGTACGTGGGAAAGCCCCTCAGGTACGTACAGGCCCCAGGAACAACGCGTGTGCAGGTGCACACGCACACCCGCCACGCAGAAGAGCAAGCGCTCATCCCTGCCCGTACGGAGATGGGCTGCGGTGGGAAAGGCCTCCTCATGCAGGAAGGAGGTGCTAACTTTACAGTTACTGTCCTGTATCAAGAACGCTCAATTTGACAGAACCGGTTCCCCTGCAAGAAGCGGAGGAAAACATGACAGCTTCCCCTCCGACTTCTCTTCAGCTAAAATACAACCCTGCAGAGCAGCGAGCGCGGACCACACGAAACGCATCCGAGGGACGGAGAGGGAGCGGACCCGAGCTCCCCAAGGCGGGCCGCTTCCCACCCTCAGAGGCGGTCGCTCGCCACCCAGGTCGCGGTGAGAGACCCACCCGACGACGGCGCACGCCGCGCTGCGGTCTGCGTTCGGAAACCTCGGACCGGCTGGCGGGCCCGGGCGTGGAACCCCCGACACAGGACGCGGGAAAGCAGCGAGCCCCAGCCACGCCGAGTTCCAACCGCCGCGGGAGCCGTTGGGGACGCGCCTCCTCGGCCGCAGCCCCGCCCCCGCGCAGGCCGTGCGTGGAGAGGCCCCGGGCGCGGGGCCTGTCGGGACTTGAGGTCCGCGAGCGCGGACCAGCCTCTCCCCCGGAACTACACTTCCCACAGTCACCGCCGCGACGCCCATTGGTAGGAGGGGAGCCGGAGCGCCGAGGCCGCTGGGGTGCCAAGTGGGCGGTGCTGACGCCGGGCCTGCGGGAGCCGAGGCCCGGGAGGGTGTGCACGCGGACGGTGGGCTCCGCCCTCAGCCCCCACCCTCGGTAGGCCGGCGTTTCCCCCGTGAGAAACGCCCCTCCGCCCCGGCCTCCGCCTGGAGTGTCTTCAGTCTCCGAGTTTCCCTGCCCGCCTCGAGGACTCCGGGGGGTAAAGGCGGGGCCGAGGCCCCAGGAACACCCCCTCCCACGCCTCTTTCAGCCCGTGGTCGGCCCGGCAGGGATGGGCGGCGAGATCTGGCTGCCCTTCCCGGTGGTGCTCTTGGGCGCTCTGCTGCTGCCGGGGGCGGCCGGCTTCACGCCCTCCTTAGACAGCGACTTCACGTTTACCCTTCCGGCGGGCCAGAAGGAGTGCTTCTACCAGCCCATGCCCCTGAAGGCCTCGCTGGAGATCGAGTACCAAGTAAGTGCCGCGGCCGAGCCAGCCTCCTTCCTTCGGCGTAGCTGCGCCTCGCCGCCTCTCACCCGCTCGGAAACTTCCTGCCGACGGCGCGAGTGGCGGAGGGGCGAGTGTGCAGGGCGAGGCCGCCAGGGACGCGGGCCGGTTCCGCGCAGGCGCGCGAGGCCCGGCGCTCGCTGGGGCTGGGGATCGAGACGCCGGGCGGGACCTGGAACCACTAGCCGCGCTCCAACCCTAACCCTGACCCTTTCCTCCCGTCGGAAAGGGGCCAGCTCTGGTGATGTCGGTGATTTTTCTCTTGGTTTCATAATTCGCCCAAGGCTTTTCTAGCCCGGACACGCTGCAGTCCTGGGAATTTCACAATACAGGCCTAATACACGTTCTCCTTAGTCATTGGATGAGATGGTGACACTCGCTTTAATCACCCCCACCACTCTCACCCAGTTCCGGTATTATAAATCTACACGGTCATTGCTTCAGTTAAGGATTTTTCAACTGTGACCATGTGACTATCACTAAATCCTATTTTGGAATGTTTTGAAAGGGGCTATTGGTGTGTTTAATGGTACCTTTTTTTCTCAGTTATATATCCATTTAAAAATTGTATATTAAAACTTTATAATCTTTCATTCAGCATTCTTAGCATTTCTCTCATACCATTGCTTTCTTTTTTTACTGTCTGCATAATATTAATGGGGAATTGTCTTGATTTATGTAGTCATTCTGGTAGAGAGTAATTTCTAAGAAGAAATCTTGTTAGCTCCAATACATCTGATTTCAATGTTTCTAAGAAGCACTGCAAAAAAAAAAAAAAAACACCTTGGTATGGGTCATCTTTAAATTTTTTACAAGTTACTTAATTTTTAACCAGATGTTAAGTTTTTATAGTTGATGTAGAGAATTTTTTTTCAAAAACAGGTCACATACAGAGCCAAGTAGAATTTTCATCCAAAGGAACTCTAGAATTAGATTTATAGATGCATAAAGTAAGCATAGAGAGTAAAGTATCTAATGTCATATAATTAGTGAGCAAAATTGAGGCTAGATCTCAATATTTCTTGATTTCCAGTCCAGTTCAAAGTTCATTTACTGAACAATTACCATGTGTCAATAATTGAGGGTGGAGGGTTGGACATGGAGGAGCCAACGAGCAAAAGAAAGAGCCCTTTTCAAGGATCTTAATATTTAAGTACTGGCTCATAAACATGTAATTTCAGTAAAATATGGTTAGGTGCTATTGGAGGAGGGCTTCTTCTGGGGTTTCAGAAAATGATTTTGGGAGAAAATAAATTGGAATCTAGAAAGATGCTTAAGTGATACAGGAATGCAAGGAAGGAGGGACATTTCAGGAAAAGGAACAAAATGAATAGAAAGTTCTGAAAATGCATAGTATGAGTGTTTTAGCAGTGGGCAGTGTGTAGTGGACACTACAAGTGCTGAGTTTTTGTTGGACCTTCAGACGATAAAGTCTAGGGAAGAGAAGAAAAAGAGACTGGAGCAGTCAGGAGGCTAGATCATGAATCATGAATCTTAGCTTCTGCGCCATGCTACTTAGCTTTGACCTTTTTCTGTACGAGGGACACTGAAGATTAATAAGCACTGTGGTAAGAGTCAAAAGTGTTTTACAGTGTGGAAGATGGACTTAAGGAGGGCAAGATTAAAGGCAAGGAAACCAGCTACAGGGTTAGAGAAATAGTCTAGATAAGAAAACAATTTTTATTGCTCAGAATTCATCAGTATTTACCCAGGTATTAAGGAAGAAATCAATTTTAAACTCCTAACCTTTTATGATTAAGAGCTCCAACAGTAGAGAAAAAAAATGCCTAGGTTGAAATTCTGACTCTGTCACATACTACCTGTATGATCTTGAACAAGTTACTTAACCCTACACTTTTAAAATCGAAATGGTACTAGTAAAAGTTGATTTGACCTAAGTGTTCATGTACCATCCCTGACACTTAGTAAACATTCAATGAATGTTCGCTTTTTTTTTATATTTACACATACAGAGTTATGTAGCTGGTGTGGTTTAGCCTTATATTTTGCATCTTTGATCACTTTCAAAGGGACTATTCTCCTAAAGCATTCTCCCTAAACAATGTAATCGTTTTGATTGAGAAAAGAAGTAAAATTGTTAAGTGTCTGTTGTCCTAGACAGTGTTGGAACAGTTGATAGGGTGGAAATCATCTTCAGCCCTTTGCATTTTCCAACTCCGTGATTAATTTTCCAGTAACTACAAGCTACTGGGTTTTGTTTTAGTTTTTAGAATGTCAGGGAACCGGGAGGGTGGGTAGAGTGCATGCTTAGCATGCTTGAGGTCCTAGGTTCAATACCCAGTACCTCCGTTAAAAAAATAAAATGTCAGGGAACAGACATTCTAAACATTGTCCTTGGTTTACTGTGACATATTGAACAATTTTAACCATTACTTACTTTTCAGGTGTAGCAGGACACTTAGGATAATTGACCAGCCCCACATTGTATTAAGTTCTTGAAATTTTTTAATGTCAATACATTTATCTTATAAATAAAATATATCATTCACTTAAAACTTTAAATTATTGAGTGCTTAATTTGTGTAAACATATGCTGGGTATTATAGATGCAATGATGAGAAGAATATCCTCCCTGCACTCATGCAGTCTTGTGAGGGGAAGGACGTTTATCAAAGTATTATACTAATAAGTGTGAAGTTAGAACTCTGCTAAGTGCTGCTGTGAAGCTAAGTTCATAAGCTAAGAGAGTGTTTAGTAGGAGAGCTTGATTTCATCTGGGAAGTGAGAGAAGACATCCTAGAAGTGGAATTCAGATCTGTGGAAGGCTTACTAGGGATAACAGAGGAGGGGGACTGCTGGGGAGTGGAACAAGGCGATGGGTGAACAGAACAACATGTGGTAATGCGAGGCTCTGAGGAAGAAGACTGAGTAACACTTTGAGGGACTGAAAGACTATTACAAAGCAGGGAAAGTGGCAGTCGTCCGACGTGATCCATTGAAATCACTGGGAAGTTTAGTTTCAGATTATGGTACTGTTTTATTTTATATTTTCAATAGATATTTTGTATAATTTTTAAGTTACCTTCTGTATTTTTAAATACCATTTTAACGATTTCATGAAGCATGACAGTTACTACCAATAATATCTTTTGCTTTGCTCGCGTCTTTGTTTAGTTTTTTTATATTGCTTGTTTTTTGATTTAATGGATATGGTTTTGGTTTTTTTGGAGGATAACCTTGAGTAATACTTTTGAGCACTTTGAGTACTTGGATATCTGAAAATGGCTTTACCTTTTGCTTTCACTTCAGTAAATGTAATTTTTTCATTGGGGAACATTGAAGACGTGAC